ATTCGGGTCACGAGCCACCTTATTTTACGTCGTAACTTACAGCATACAATTATCTAGGAGTTTGTATCAGCCCATCCTTTCCACTCGGCTGATCATTGAGATGGACTATAAGTTATGAAGAGGTTTCGGATGTCTACGTCGTAACACTTACGACGTACCTCAGGATCGCTAGCTTACAAGTTCGCAGATACAACTTAGCCGATCTTATATGATTGGGCTTACAACCCACAAACACAGCTATAACCGAAGCTACACAGCACAGCAATCAAATGAAACTCAACGAAATGCACTAGCATTGCTTAAGACGGTACAAAAGACCCACTATATCTCTTCTTTCTCCTCAGACAGGATTTCCCGGCGAGTCTTCTTTCGTACTCCAGTGGCCTTGGGGGATCGGCGCAGAACGACACGCTTACCCAGGTGACTCGGAATTGACGCGCCACACTCGAAGTCGTTGTGCCACACTTGAAACCACGTTGTATCCGTACCTCTGCGTGCCTTGGGACAGAGGAAGCACTTTGCATCACCCTAAGAGCAGTCTTCGCAGTAGTAAGTAGTGTGGTAGCTTTTCTTCGGCTCACCTCGATACAGAGAGCACACCTTGCAGGAGCGCTGGCGCCGCTTCTGAACGCCCGAAACGATCACCCAGTCACTTAGCTGCTTGTGGACGTGAGAAGTGTTGCGGCGACGCTTGGGCGCAATCGGAGACGGTGTGGGCGCTGCTGTTTTGAAGTCGTCGTCCGTGAGCTGCGTGAGCTGCTTGTGCAGCATCTTGTACCAGTCCACGCGCTTCATAGAGGCGACACCGTCAATGCGACAGGCCTCCTTGTGTGTCAGGTAAGCGTTGTCAAGCGCTAGGTTAAAAAGACCTAAGAACAAGCCCTTTATAATACTTTTGGAACTTAAAAGAAGTCTGGACGGAGAACGTTTGGAGACGGAGTTGGTCGTGCACATCAACTCCGCCCATCCAGCGCTGGTAATCGGTCACCAGTTTAAAACAGCTGAACGTCGCCTGCCCCACCACCTTCAGGTTTCTCTTGATGGTATCTTCGGCCATTGACACCCCAGTGGCCAGGTAGTGCACCGGTTTGCGGTCCCACCAGTGGCATGTAGCCATAGTGGGCACCGCAACAGACCGTGAGAACTTGCATGACGTGCGCTCTACTGTGGCTGGTTGTGTCTTCCGTCGCTCAACGATGTGCTTGTCGAACCCCAGCCTCGACGTCAATATTGCTCCAATCATGTAGATCGACATGGAAAGTAGCTGGACGGCGAGCGCGACGGAGGTGTAGAATCTGTCTACAACAATGATACGAAATCCGGGGTTGTTCTCATCTAACACAGCCTTCAAATTTCGAATTACGGCAGCTGCGCCTGTCTTGTGACCAAATGCCTGACTTGCGCTTTCATGGTTTTGGCGCTTGCCTACATATATCTCGAATCTAAAGTCGTAATTGACAAGATAATGCAAATGTCAGACAGTCAAGAAGCAACTTACGACTTTGCAAAACTTTTAAATAAACAAAGCGCACCTGTGGCAGTAAGCAGACACTGCGTCGCACGTCATGAACATCTTGGTGCCATAGCGATGCGGCTTGTCTGGCATAAACGCTCGAGTACCGTTGCGCTTGGACGTTGGAGGAAGCACACCTTCATCGAATGAAATGATATTAGCCACCGGCCATGCAGTTAGGAATTTCCTTTGAAGAACGTCAACGACAGCTCGCAGCTTCCACAACTTGTCTATCTTGTTTGCTGTCTCATTATTGCAGAAATGAAGGTCCCGTAGGATAGAAGTACAGCGATTTCGAGGGACAAAATTGCCAAACCGCCCCGTAGGAAGCGCGCCGTCGTCAGGCATAGCCCAGTGATCTGAAAACGGATGGGTAGGGCTGAGCATATGAGCTACAAGTAGACCCATGACACAAAGAACTTCGCGCGGTACGTAATCAGGCTCGACTCGGATGCGGCGGCGAGCATCCCTTAGCGTTTGACCTGGTACGCTGCGCCCTTTACGAATAAGCCGGGCGCTTTCTTGACGCGCCTTTTCATCGAGGTGTGATCTTTTGTATCGGTTTATTTCGCTCGTGATGAATGTCCACAGGCTCGTCGGCATGAAAAAAATTAGCAATTCCACTGGTGAGGCCTTCTTAGCACGGAGCGCTTCCACTGGTCTATCCACTTGATCCCTCATACCCTTGAACGCGTTGTTGTCGGTTTCATACTCGGAGGATACAGGGGTCCATGCCATGGAACATAGTGCTTCTTTGCTCATGTCTTCGATAGATAGGGAGCCACCCAAGCAATCAATAAACGCTGCATCCATAAGAGGCGCCTCTTCTTCATCGGGTGACAGGTCATCGTCAACTTGCCTGAGCACAACATCACCATCGTCGTCTGATTCACAGCCATCCGACTCCGAGTCCATGCCCTCGTACTCATCTGCATTGTCCTCGTCCTTCATGACGTTCACATCCTCTTGTAGCAAGCCACAAACTACCTCCGAGTCTGTTTGCGCCACCTCCCCGGTGACGGTATCTCCAACAGCACCATTTTGAAGGACGCATGCCGATACATCCGGGTCTTCCCCTCCAAATATATCGTCTTTGGTATTTGCCGACAGCGCAATACTTATGTCTATCTGCGACAACCTCGTTCTCTCGTCCTCTACGTGCGGGCTTGTGGCGCATAGCGGGCGTTCCGCAGCTAAATCACTTTCCTCGCTCTCGGATCCGAGCGATGTATCAACGGTGTTTGCTGTGAGGGCAACACTTGTGTCAATCTGAGACGCTGCTACCCTCTCACACACCGCAGGATCGTCTGGCTGATCTTCTGCACTCTGACCCTCTTTGGTGTCGCTTGCACTTTCCTCTTCAGCGCCGATGGTGCCCTGTTCAAGCGCATATTGTACTACCGCGTGTTCTCCTGCGCGTACACAGCACAAAACATGTATCAGATACACTGTAGTAGAATAACTACGGAAGTCTTATCCACAAACATGTTCACACCCTCGACGCGTGGTTCCTTTGCATCGTTGGAGGAGTAGTATGAGGGCAAGTTGGACAGCCGCGTTGGCCTCTTTGACGTCCATCCGACACGTACGAGCTGACGCCATAGATGACCGAAGCCCACATCTCGCACGTCGATTGTTGATAGCGCCTCCGCTTGAGCTTTTGACCGCTTGCTTGTTCTGACCGGCATCTTCACTCGAGCCCGCAAATTCTGAACTGGTGGGGTATATCCACCACCCACCAAACGTACGGCCCCCAGATAGTGGGAAAGTGTATCCAACCACCGCCTTTTTCTCCCCTGTCGCGGGCTACCTTGCCAAGCTTATATATTTTTTGCCGCCAAACAGACTTGATTAAAGTATTAGGTCGCCGCGTCTGAGCCATTTCCCGTTTATTTTACAGTTTAAGTCGTAACTTACGCCTTAGTGTTTACTCTACGTTCTAAGTTAAGACGTTGGTAACCAAGGTGTTAAGGCCTGCAACGATGGCACCAATGTTTTGGACGAAGCGGGCATACTACAGCACCACGAGCGTATAGCTTTCTAAATTGCAGGAGCCCCAGTAAACCACACGGCAGCAGTAAATGCTTAGAGATGATCCACAGTTTATGGTTCAGCTCAAAGTACCTACATGTAAGTGACCATGACGGTCATGATCATGATGGGTACCATACTTGTGAGTTTCACCTTCCAAAAGTTGTGATGGGTGCGTAATGGTAACCAATGCTCGGACATTACAATAAAGAAAAGTATATAATGACGGCCTTTGTGATATGAATCAGATCACGATTATATTCCATGCTATGATTGGTCAGATGTTATGGGTACGGAATCAGCTATTCATGTTAGCGCTTTTGCTGTTCTCTACGATAGGTACAAAGTCGATTGTAAAGCGTCCCGCAAGATAATTCCTCCGCTCTTTTAGGTATTGTCGCGTACCGGTTTGACATCATTGTTGAGAAGGCAGCATCAAACACCTTGTAGGCAGTGGGGATTTGAAGGTCGGAGATTCGAGTCACTTCAGCCGGTAGTGCGGTGGTTTCCTTCGCAAGCTGCTCCAGGTACTCCATCACCATACTGACGCGTGGGTGTCTAATTCGATGAGCTGAAATAATATCGTACTGCTTACTTAGCTGTCTGTATGGGCGAATCTTGGCGCCACGATCACAAAAAAAAAACAGAGGCTCCGCATAGTTTTAACATTCGCTCGTACTGGAAACTCCCAGCCTATTGGGACAGCATGATCAAGCTTATTATCATTCCACGGCCATGAACGCCATTCGGATTGGTGTTCACTCGCAATACTGTTGCTGGTAGTAGCAGACTTAACCAATTGCAGATCGCTGATAAGGTTACGAAACTCTGTAGCCATTGTGGACCGTAAATCGCTCATCCGGGTATCCAGATCACGCAGCCAAATTGGAGCAACCCCATTAACCACAAAATGCTGCCGCATTTCAGAAACAACTTGAACTGCAACTTGATTTGGTAGTTTTACGACCATTTCGGACTTAGTGCTATCGATTTTTTTATGAAGGGTGGCGACATCATCTCTTAGCTCTTTCACTTGCTTTGCTACAGAGAGATGTGCGGGAATTCCGGTCGCCTTTGGGCCACTCACCGGTGACGTGCCAATTGCAAGAATCTTCACACCACGCTGGTCGTCGAGAAGCGAATTTGCGGAAAATACGCTTGCTTTAAATATCGGATGCGACGACGATAGCGTGACTCGAAGATAACGTTCGTGGTGGATGAGTGACGCTATCAGAAATGGAAGAGCCGACTGTAAACCGCGTGGATAGTTACTGTAGCCACTCACAATTTCATTTCGGTAATCTATTGTCATTTTTGAAATCATTTCGGGAGGGAAATGTGGAGGCAATGCCCCAAAGCACTCTGAATCGAATGGCAGCCCTGCTATCATTCTTCCACATAGCTGATCAGTTCACTCTTCAAAATGAATGTATCTGTCTTTCAGCTTTCCCAGGCTTTAGCCCATACGCAAGTAGACCGAGACGGGGGTTGGCCCACTTGATTGCCCAAGCGCATACGAGCTACTGCCTTTGCGCAGACTGTGGGTGCCGATGTCCTCCGGTATACAGCCCAGTATACACACTTCTTCCTCGCTCCAAGACTTGATTACACGACGTAGCAAGCGGCCAAAGCGATCCTTTGAGTCACTTCCGAGGAAAAGCTGTTGTTTGCCTCCCTTACCGCGTTCAGGACAGCAAAATAATAGTACAGCGAGCGCGGGAATAGGGCATTGCGATGGGTTGGAGTATACATGCTTGCCAAACTTTTCTGCTCCAGTCTGATCTCCTTTATGACCTTGCTCCTCGACGATGAGACAATCCTCAGACCACTCTATATGTTGCAACATGATTGTATCAATCGAATCCGCCCGGCTCATTAAATTCCACATGCGAACAAAAAATACCTGCCAAATAACACCGTCGGCCAGGCTTAACCTTTCTTTACAGGCTCAAGCTTCATTAGTTTCAGAGCCAGGAGTTCAAATCCGAAACCTTTTAGTTGATGTTTCCCTTCATTGATTTTCATCAGACCCCGCTTCTTTAGATCATTTATACCTTCTCGTGGCCCTCGAGAACCCGGTGAAGCTCTGTGTCAATTAGGGGGAACAACTCAATAAGCTGTGCGCGATAGACGTCCACAAGAGCACTGCGATAGCCCCAAATACACGACGCCGAATAGGGAGGACTTGATGCATCTTGTGCACTCACGTTATCGCGGTCACACACGTGAGTAGGACTACAGATATACCCCAAAAAAACGAGAATAGCTTCTTTAGGGAGCGGAATGAGCATCTTCTTCGTGGTACTGTCGATTGTCTGCGGGAAGTGCAAGGCCAGCCATGCCGTCATGGTGTTCACCTTCGACTGATATGTACCTTTAAGTGCTTAACTTCGTCCGCTTTGACTGAAGCGACTGAGCCACGGAAGCTGAGTACTCAGCGTCTCTCTTTTGCTTGCGCGCCATTTTGCTCTTTTGTTTGTGAAAGGTCGCAATAATGTGTGATGACGGTCGTTATCACAAATGCCGTCAATCTGGCATATTAAGCTCGCACCATAGTGAAATCATACATATTTACTTAGGTTCGCAAACGATTTCAAGCAACTATGATCGTCTCCTATCACACGTCAGTGGCAGAATAAAGTAATTTTATCAAAAATGCAGTAGATGTCTTAGTTGTTCTTCACAACAATAAGAAATAAATGAATATAAAGAAGAGCAATATTAAAAAAATGAGGAATACCTGCTGTATTGTCCTTCAGCACCAGCATTGACACTAGCTATCGTCAGTGTCATCAACATCGAGTCTCATAAGTGTACCTGCATCCCAGAAGTTACGGCTGGCTCGCCAACACGAAGTTCTTCGGTAGGAGGGATGCACGCTGCGGGGTCATGATCAGCTTGCACTGCGAGAACAGCCTTGCAGAGATTGCTGGTGGGGGGAATCGCGACGACGATCGGGTCGTATCGCGGAGTCACGAGCTGGGGGTCCGGACGCTACTGTAGCAGCGCGGTTGCGAAGTCCTCAGCGCAGCGGGTGCGCGTCCGAGTGCACCGACCACGCGACAGTGCGGCCGGCTCGGAAGCAACAGCTTCCAGTTCGAGCGGCTGGAGGGCCTGTGCCTCTTCTGAAGTCAAGCCGGTTCCTGCACCACGAGAAACCTAATTTAGCATTAGGTTACATAGGTAGGTTAGCGCAGCTGCAGCAACCGAAGAGCAACACAGCAGCAACATACCTTGACGTCGGCGCTTTCAAACACCGGGGGGGGGGGGGTGAGCGATGTCAGCGTTGGGTGGTAGGTAGTCACTCGTTACGGGGAACATTTCAACCATCTTGTCAGATAATATCCGCACCGACCTCATTAAGATTTCTTGGTCTTGAAGCTTCTTGCACACGCTGTTGAACGTCTTTAAGTTCTCGACGAGCGCTACAATGCGTCGGTGCGTAGACGGCTTCGGAACCAGGTCGTTGACCGCGTCGACGCGCTTGATAGCGTCGCGGATGCGAACGTACTGCTCCAGCATCATGAAGGTGGAGCTCCACCGAGTAGCATTAGCACGAAATGGTCTTAGACTTGTGTGGTGCCGGAGCTCAGCGCTGTTCTTGATCGTCCGGAGCGCCCTCATTAGCGCGCTCAAAGCCCCACCAGGTCTTCGTGTTCCGCAAAAACGTTTTTGGTGGCCATATTAAATTGATGAGACGCGCGGCCCACCAATGAGATGCAGAGCATGGTTGCCGTCAGGTGATTGGTGGCACAATTGTCACCCACCAACAATCTTAGCGAATCTCCTGATTTGGCAAAAAATCGCCAGAATATTCCGAATATAGGCACAGTGCGAGACAGCAGTGAGATCAGCCTCATCTAAAGGTGCCACCGCTAATTGAACGTAGCAAAGCTGACCGTCCTTCCAGTAGACGATGTACAGTACCACGTAGTACTCTAGAAAGCATGGCTAGCCATCGTTCATGGCCTTAAACATCGGGGGGATTGTATTGGCAATCTCCTTTTCGACAGCTCGCGTAGTTGCAGCACCGTATTTTTTAGAGTCTTCGAAGAGATAGGCTTGAGCCGGGACATTGAGCGAGTTGTTGGGTGGTCCACCTCAGATAGAGGCATGTTTCTGTTCACCACTCATTCCGTCCAGTGGTAGATAATGGCGACCTTGTCGCTCACAAAGCCGAAGAAGTGTAGGTTGCCAGCCAGAGAGCTGGCGTGGGCAAGGGAGTCGGCCTCGTAGTCAGAGTGCTTGTACTTTAAGTGGCTGATTAGGTTGGCGTAGCCACTAGAAGGGAGCTGACGACACACTTTGTTGCAGTAGTTGCACTTAAAGTAGTGGTCTGGTAGAGCTGCAAAGAACACGCGGCAGATGTCAGCGTTCTTGGGCATTGCGTAGGGTAGAAGGGCAAGTAGATTGAGCTAGGAATCAAATTGATAAGTGAAAGGCTAGCAGGACAACTGATCGGGTAGAGCGCTTAGAGTTTAAAATATCCACTGGACATCACAAGCTCAAAACAAATTACTTATCCTCCCTATTCGATATAAGAAACCGAAGCTTTTTGTGACTCCAACTTGATTATAGTATGCTTCTCGCGTGCTAACTTGACTTCACTATGAAAACAATAAATGTCGGTAAATTTATATATTACAACTGGTAGACCAAAAGCAATAATAATAAATGTGGTAGGAAAATAGCAGTGTTTTTAATAATATTTTTGTGTGCACTGAAGGTAACTCCAAAATCGGTAAAGTTTATAGAGTGATAATATCACCTGGTAGACCCTTAATTTAAAAAAAGTTACCTAATATTTTTTTCTAAGATGAAATGATATTATTAAATATCAACTTAGTATTTGCTATTAATAAAACGATATCATATTCTCAAAGGTTGCGTAATCGATTTTAAATCCACCAATCATATGCCGTTAAAGTTCGACCAGCTGAAGTATTACTAATCAACAATGAGTCCGAGACAATTGTGAGAGTGACGCAAAGTTGGTGTGGTGTGTTGGCACTGCTGGTCCCTCCAACACAACTACAACGTCACGACAGTTCTTGTAGCTAGCCAATGGGCTTGCAGCGCCACAATGCGTGCCACAAGAAACAACAAAAAGAGTAGCGGGGTACGAAGCCTCAAGTATACCCCTAGTTACATGAAGTGTGATACGTCAAACTTCGGAATATCTGGTACATGGTATCAGGTTCGTCCGAGACCAACCATTGGCTGATGACATTGCTTTTCTATAGGTGTCTTATAGTTTGTCTATTTAACTCAAGCTTAGCCTACCTATAAATATATGCAGGTTAGAACTTACCTTAAATTGGTCACTTCGCTCAAAGGGGGGCCTGTGAGCTGCCGTGTTTTGAGAGTTTGTATACTCTCGGAAGCCGATCTTCTCTAGCGCATGGTGCTGTGTGACCCCGTCACACTTGGTCGCACTTGTAGCCAACCCACGCCAACGCAGGTAGACTACCTGGACCTCTCTGAAGCTTGTCGCCATTGATAGGAACGACTTCTCCCATTTGAACGACTCACAGTTCCAGTCCGTTCGAGCGTTGGCTGGCATCTCCGGGATGGGGTCCCTGCAGAGCCTGGTGGTGTCGACATCGGTCGAGCAGCTCGAGCGCGTCAATGCGTTTGACGCCTATGAGCAGGGGCTCATCGCACATGTGCGGGAAAACCTGCAGGCTCCAGCGGCGGAAACAAACCCGCCACCCCCGAAGCCAATACGGCTGAAGGTTAAGCCGTATGAAGGGAAGGAAGGTGAGAACCTTCACTTCTGGGTTCGAGAGGTAGAGCTCGCGATGGACGCGGCTCTGATCTCGACCGAGCTGCTCCGTGTTGCTTTTGCACTCTCCAACCTTGGCGGTCGTGCTAAGCGTTGGGTGTACACGCGGGAGGCGACATCGCCTGAATGTTTCACATCCTGGACTCAGTTGTGCGAACAACTCCGAGCCGCGTTTCCACGGCGAACTACGAGCACCGGCAGCGTTTGCACTTCCTCTCATGCAAGCAAGGAAGGCGCGACCTGCACGAGTACGTTAAAGAGATAAGGGAGCTCACGGCGTTTCTAGTGGGAAACCCACTCCGCGAGCACGTCAAGATGACTGCGCTCACAAACGGCCTTCGAGTGAGCCTGTCGCGCACTCAGCTGTTCCGGGTGCAGTCAAGCGCTCTCGAAGCGGCGATTCAAGTGGCTCATTGGGAAGAATACAGCCATCTCCAGGCGCGCACGCCGGCCTCAGCATGGGCAAGTAATTCCGTGTCGAATCCCTGTCGAGCAAACCCCAACGAACCAGGTCCCATGGAGCTCAGGTCCGCCGAGCAGCGCGACATTCTCGGCTTCGGCTGCAAGAAGCTGGGCTAATTCAAGCGCGACTGCCCCGCGGAGCAACACCGCAGGCGGACTTGTATCAAGCCCGTCCTTAAGGGTCGCTGGCTTCTGCGACCCTTGAGGACGGGCTTGATACAAGTTCCCGGGGACTGGGGAACGCCGGAGACCAGTAGGGGCGGGCGCCCTACTAGGGAAGAATTAGGTCTTCGTTAGGGGTGCGCGGGTGGCGTGTACCACTGGGACTTAGCCCCTGAGAGTCTTCGTACTCTCGAATCGGCGAACAACAGTGGCGGGCTGCTCGTAGGACACGGATATGTACGAAGATACGATCACCATACCCAGGTTCATATCGTATGAATCCAGGTCGAGAACAGTAAGCTGTTCTAGGCTGTCAAAGTCCTAAAACTTGACGGCCAGATTCACTTGAACGTTGAGGACAGTGACGACCTTCCCGTCGGCCAGTCGCATTGACACCGTCCCATTGCCCTTGCTTTCTCTCGAAATATCGAACAGCTTGTTGCTATTACGAGCAACCGTCTGGCGGCGTGCGAAATACTTCGACCCTGGCTCGAGAAGCACGATCCCAGGATCGACTGGCGAGGCAAGGCAATGGGTACCAGCCGCCCTGCGAAGTCCGACAGAACATTTGTGAGTCATGTTCCCACTTCTGTCAGGACCCGGGGCACCTGCAAGGGCTGCTAGAGTACCGAAGCATCCAGCAGATGCTTAAGAGTCGTCAACGTATATTACGACTCCGAGGACGCTTCAATGATGGTGGCGGCGCTAACGGGCGCTGGCCAAGTGGGTAACTTAGGTCCACAAGCTGGAAACATAGTTCCACAGACAGCTGCAGCTGTCACGAACGCTGGTAATAGCGTGTACCAGGTGAATAACAGAGAGGATGCCGCTGACAGCATCGAAGCCAGTCTCCAAGAGGCCCCTGCCCTGGCCCTGCCGGACCAGACGAAGCCGTTCAGCGTCGTCTGCGATACCTCCGACTATGTCATGCATTGCTGC